ATCCCGTTTGAACTTAATTTCAACCACTAAGGGTGCTGTTTGTCCTGTTGCGGGTTTACCAGGAACCCGGCTTCCACAAACCCCCAACCCCAAAGCCTAAGTAAACCCTAAACCCTCAACCCGAAACCCTAGACCCTAAACCCTAAACCCTAAACCCTCCTTCGAACCCCAAAGCCGTTCACCTGCGAGGCCTCTGGCATCGCAAAACCGGATGCTGCAGCGCCGACCTCAGTGCAAGGATCCAACGTGGTAGTGGAGGCAGGGTTTAGGGTTTAGGGTTTAGGGTTTAGGGTTTAGGGTTTAGGGTTTAGGGTTTAGGGTTTAGGGTTTGAGGCTTCAGTGCAAGGATCCGAGGCGGTAGTGGAGGCCAGGTAAGGGTCTGGAGGTTTCGGGTTTGAGGGTCTAGCGATTCAGCGTTTAGAACGGTTTAGGGGTTCAGGGGTTTAGAGTTTAGGGGTTTAGGTTTGGGCGTTCAGGTTTACAGGCTTTAGGGGTGTATGAGTACGGGTCCACCACGCTTATGGTACCAGGCTCTTTCAGTAGTGCTAGTGGCACAGGCGCAGGGGCTCAACTGGCAGATGGCCACGGACCATCAGTGCGCAGTGTAAGAAAAAAGTTTCCTGGTCGACCTAAGCCAAAGCCCTAAAACCCATTTCGACTCAGGTCCTACGGCATGCGCATCTGGCATGGCTTACAGCGATCGGGATCCTGCATGTGTCCTTCCTCTTGAAGCCAGAAACAGACCTAAGCAGCACCCTCTAGACCCCGAAAACCCTGAAACCCTGATCACCATCGAGGCCGCAAGACCCCAAAAACCCTGAACCGCAAAGTTGGGTTTAGGGTTTAGGGTTTTAGGGTTTAGGGTTTAGGGTTTAGGGTTTAGGGTTTAGGGTTTAGGGTTTAGGGTTTAGGGTTTAGGGTTTAGGGTCTAGCGTTTAGGAACCAAACCTTCAAACCTTTTGGATCCTGATAAACATGCCTGAACCCTTGTTGCCAGCAGAGCTGTCTTTGCCAGGAATGCCTTCAAGTCCCTGGCACGTAGCCACCCAGCTGTTCTTGCGAGGCTTTGCGGGAGGGTTTAGGGTTTAGGGTTAGGGTTTAGGTTTTAGGGATTAGGGTTTAGGGTTTAGGGTGTAGAGTTTAGGGTTTAGGGTTTAGGGTTCAGGGCCGTTTAGGGTTTAGGGCCGTTTAGGGTTTAGTGTTTAGGGTTTAGGATTTAGGGATCTTTTGGGTTTTCTTGTGGTTTAGGGAGCATGAACACGACTGCTTTCATTGTGGTGAAAGGGGTGGGGGCATGGTTAACCCAAACCCCAAACCTTAAGCCCCAAACTCCAAACCGTGGGCTTTCCCTAATTCTTAAACCCATATACGCCTTAAGCCCTACAAAAGCCTATCCCAAGCCCTGCCTCTACGCACGAAACCTACAATCTATATTCCGCTTCCCGCGTTTGCTCGGCAGATGGGCTTTGGGATCGAGATAGGAGTTGTTAACCCGAAGCCCTTACTAACCCCTAAACCTCGACCAAATATCCCAAACCCCAAACCCCAAACCCCAAACCCTAAACCCTAAACCCTAAACCCTAAACCCTAAACCCTAAACCCGCCCGCCACCCCTCTCATCTCTGTTGGGGTAGGCGGGCGCAGTCGAGCGCTCAGCGAGACCACGGCAGGCTCTGCTAGGCTGCAGAGCCTGCCAGGCACACTCCTGAGAGGGTCGCCTAACTAGAGTCGCCTAGCTCGTCTCAGATATATATTAGAACCCTAAACCCCAGGAGGGGGGGGATCCTTTTTCAATTCCTGGCAACCTCTGGCCCTGGCCCTGGCACTGGCACTGGCCCCGACCGGCCCGGACCCTGGTCCTGGCCTGGCCGCCCTAGCCCTGACCCTAGCCCTGGCCTGGCCCTCCTTGGCCACCTGCTGGCCCTGGCCCTGGCCCTCCTGGCCCTGACCTGACCCTGCCTTGCCTGGCCCTGGCCCTGGCCCTGGTCCTGTGGCCCTGACCCTGGCCCTGGCCCTGGTGTTGGCCCTGGTTTTGGCCCTGGCCCTGGCCCTCGGCCCTGGCCCTGGCCCTGGCCCTGCTGGCCCTGGCCACTGGCCCTGGCCCTGGCCCTGGCCCTGCTGCCCTGCTGGCCCTGCTGGCCCTGCTCTGCTGGCCCTGCTGGCCCTGCTCGCTGGCCCTGCTGGTCCTGCTGGCCCTGCTGGCCCTGCTGGCCCTGCTGGCCCTGCTGGCCCTGCTGGCCCTGCTGCTGGCCCTGCTGGCCCTGCTGGCCCTGCTGGCCGGCCCTCCTGGCCCTCCTGGCCCTGCTGAGCTGACAGGAAGCCCTCTGAAAGGTCCGACCCCTCGCTCTGACCGCTTTAGTGAGTTTCGTTCTCTGGCCAAGTGAACTTCGGCGTGGGGGGGGGGGGTTCTTGCAAAACCTGCAGACTCTTCACGCCCTGAATTTTCTGTGAGAGGGCCCTTCGGCCCACACCGTCCCCTGCGCAAAACCTGAAGGGGGGGGATCCTTTGCCTTGTGCCCCCGAGTGACCTCCGAAGTCAAGGGACACCCTTGGCACCCCCTCAAAGTAGTCCCAGGCAGTGCTCGACATGCTGCCTTCTGGCCCCAGATGATCTCCGACTTCCTAGTGTCCCAATCAGCCACTGTTCCCAAGTGACCCCCCCAAGAAATCGCCAACAGCTCGCCTCAAGTTCGGCAAGTGTTCACGACTCGCACATATCCCAAGCTTTCGCAGTGTTTTATCTTAGTGTGCTCTGAACATGTTCGATGTGTGAGATTTGAATGGCTGGCTTGGCTTTGGCTGGCTCCGGTTTGGTTTCGTGATGAGTATTGTTTGGGTGGCCTCGGGGTGGGCATGTCTTCACACTTTTGCGTTCAGCTGACCAATGCTACACCCTAAACCCTAAACCCTAAACCCCTAGAGGCACCTATGGCCCTGAACCCTGAACCCCATTTTAAGAATACCTACAATGAAAACCCCATATGCCCACCCCTCCCACAGCGTTGCATCCGACGCCTGCGGGAGATATCTCCGACTGCTGGGCTTGAGGGCTTTAGGGGGTTAGGGGGTTTAGGGGTTTAATCCGAGCACCTGTTTAATTGGGGGGGCCCCCCCCCGCCACAATAAGGAAGGCAGGGTTCCGCAATAGTTGGACCATGGCCCCGTATGGTTTCTCTACTAAAAAACAATATGATTGAGCGTGCTCGGTAAGATTAGAGTCACGAAGTGCTCATCCCTGACGCTGTCTCATACTCAAGTGCATGACGAGTTAGGTCTGCCATGAAGTTAGAAGCTCTGCTGCTGAAACTGGTTAGCCGTATCTTGGAAGTGGGGTTCAAGGAACCTTACGAAAAGTTCTCTTGGGCAAGGGGTCAGACAGCTGTGACGAAGGAGTGCCATTGCATCTGTGATTGCCAGTGCAGTGACGCATTGAATCCGATTTTATTGCTGCTTGCACTGATTTGCCCTGCGATCAACCTTGTCTGCTTCTGCAGAAGACGCGGCTTTGTGACAGCAGAGCAGAGTCATGACAACCCACGACGGCGTGGCCGAGGACTTGTTACAATGCCTTCCAGGTGACCGAGTAGCTGTTTTCTACAGTGACGATACTTACTGGCATGAGCGAGTCTTGATCTGGAAGGCGAGTGACACTTCTTGGTATGTTTTGACTCCTGACATGGACCTTTATGAAGAGAGCTTTACATTGGTTGGCGACGACGGTCCTGTGAAGATGAAGGTGAAGGGGAAGCATTTTGAATATTATTCAAGACTGCGTGCGCCAGTGTATAGGTTTTCTTCTGGCTTGACCGAAGAGGAGATGAGGACCTACATCGAGAAGGCGCTAGACGAGCTGAACATGGAGGTCGTGCCTTTAGATGGCTGGAGGCCAAAAGAGGTGCGTGTGGGTCAGAGGGTGGTCCCAACCTCGGTTCTTCTTGGCAGGAGATTCGTGCCCAGGCGAGTTACCAGGCCGCCCAACGGAGCTGCGTCAAGAGGTGTGGTGGACCAGCCGGAAAGAGCCACAGCGTCTTCAGCAGATCTGCCTCTAGGGCTTTTGCCCCTCGAACCAGCTCCTGCAGGCTACATGTGGGTGTGGTTTCCCCCCCTCAGACCCGGAGCTGTCGACATTCCTCGGGAGGTGGCGGTTGTCGAGGGTCAGGGGGTTCAAGCAGGGGAAGATTTGGGTCTCATCAAGCGGGGTGACGGCTGGCTTCCTCTGACCTTAGTCGCCATTGACCAGGCTTCGGAGATTTTTGGCTGCTACTTGGGGCGACAGAGGACCTCCGAGGCCTTACATGCCGATGAGGGCCTACCTTCGGCCAGGAATGCGAATGAGGAAGGCGCCGTATCTTCTACTGAGCCTTTGGATGCAAGGGTCCTTGGTGTGGATTACAACTCCGTAAACGAAAGACACAAACATTGGCGCGAGGTTGTCAATGAGTGCAAGCAGTATGAGTTCCCCGACTGGCCTCTTGAGGGACCGATGAGCGTGGGCCACCTTATTCGACATTTCCATAGCTTTGGAGGTGATCCCAAGAGATGGCTCCTTGAATGGATGCGTTCCAAGAACATCGCGGAGAACGACCGTGTGGCTCACGAGATGCGATGTTTGGTGGACGTCATGTTCACAGCTGGGTGTTATGACCAGTTGAATCTATGCTCCCTCGCGAGCATAGAAGTGGTCGGGCGTCGAATGCAAGCTATCATCGACGCCTACACCTTGGGAGGTGCAGCCGGGCCTGACTGGCAGAACGCCAAGGTTATCGCCGGTTACCGCAGTGCAGATGATGCGGTGTCACCAAGCTTGCGGTCGTGGGCAGCCAGGCGCACCAAAGAAGAAATTGACATGGCATCTTCTCGTGCTAAGATCCGTGAGCATCGCAAAGGCCTGCTGGTGACCGATTAGGCTGCAGGTGCCGTGGCAGACGGCGTGTTGCCGACAACCGGGGCAAAGGCCAAAGCCAAGGCGAAAGGCCGTGGCAAGGGGCTGACTGCCCCGGATGGTCAGTGAAGAGTGTGGCGAGGGATCGTGCCCGGTCGGTCCCTCTCATGGCCATCAATCCGGGGATGCACGTGCTGCTAAATCCCAGTTCTCCCGTGACATGTTCCCCCTTCCTGTCCCACCTGAGGTGCGCCGGGAAAAAACTTTGGGGAGACGGGTGGCGCAGCGGGTGGCCAGACATATCCAGCAGACAACCAAGGAGCGCGAGGCCGTGAAGGCTCTCAACTGGATGGCTGGCTACAAGGAAGAATTTGAGAATTCACAGTTTTCACCAGATGCTCTTCAGTCGGAGGTGATTGGGAGAGTTCGTTATCTTGCTGGGCTATGCCAAGACAAAGGTGAATTGGCAGAGATCCCTAAACCGGAGGCAGCCCTTAAGGCGTTGCTCCGTGGCCGGTCAGAATACTCTTCTGACGAGCCGACTACGTTGGCGGCCTGCTCACTTGCGCGCATCTCGCTCTCTTCATGACGCACCGGCGGTGGAGAGTGTCTTGGATGACGAGGCCCGGCATTACCTGCAGAGCCCCGAGCATATGTTAAAACCAGGCTGCGAAACGGGCCTGGGGGAGTTTCAACCGTACTGGGATCCACTCTTGAGGAGGGACGCCAAGCTCTACAAGAAGTTCATCCAGAAGCTGAACCAAGCCGGGTACTTGGTGTTCACGCAGAACCCCAAAAGCTTCTGTGGAGTGTTTTTCGTCAGGAAGAGCGACGGTCGCAAAATTAGAATGATCATTGACGCCAGGGGTACCAACTCCATGTTTCGACCTCCCCCTGGCGTTGATTTACTTACTTCAGATGGTTTTTCGAGGATTGAGCTCAACATCCCAAGCCATTTCGTCCCAGGCAGTGCCGACTACGACGACTACCTTGACCGACACCGTATTAGCATAGGGCTCAGTGATGTAAAAGATTGTTTTCATCGGCTCCGACAACCTAGGTGGCTTTGTGATTATTTTTGCTTGGATGGGGTGCCGGCTTCTTGGGTGGGGCTCGAGAACACATATTTGGACAACCAGTGGCTTGCGCCCGACTCGATCGTGTACCCGGCCCCAGGCTCTTTACCAATGGGGTTCACTTGGGCCCTATACTTCGCGCAACGCGCAAGCGAGGTCCTCATGACCAAAGTACCATCCTTGCAAAAGTCCACCTTGGTCCATGACAGGTCCAGCGCCATCGTCTTTGGAGAGGGCCAGTCCGTGAAAAACGAGGCAGGCGAGCCGCGCCCTGTGCACCATTATGTCTACGTTGACAATCTAGGGGTCCTCAGCGTTAACCATGATACAGTGGAGACTGCCTTGCGAGAAGTAGAGGATGTCTTCGGTTCTCACAAGCTGATCCTGCATCCAGGCTTGGTGTCGAGCGGCACTACGAAGGCACTGGGCTGTGCTCTCAGAGGAGACCTTCTGGCTAGTCGGGTCACGTCAGACAGGTATCACAAACTACGTCAAGCCATCCAAGGAGTACTTGAACGTAAGCGGGTTTCTGGACGCATTCTTGAAGTGCTGGTAGGCCATGCTACGTTTGTTGCCTTGATGAACCGCCACGTCCTCAGTGTCTTCAACACGGTTTACCGTTATATTAACGCCCACTACCACAAACCAGCGCCATTGTGGACCACAGTGAGAGAGGAGCTTTCGGTTTTCAGGGGGCTCATGATCTTCTTGCATGCGGACTGGGCACGACCTTGGAACACCTACGTGACTGCCACAGATTCTTCTTTGGAAGGTTTCGGGGTTGTTTCAAGTCATTGGCAGCAGCATGAGGTTGCCAGTGCCGGCCGAAATCTTGAGCGGGCCCGCTTCAGAAAGCTGGGGAGTCATTCAGCGCGCGCCTCAGCGCTCACAGCAGCGGGTTTTGTTCATGATGAAGCTACAGATCAGTGGAAGGCCGGCTGGCTGGACAGACCCAGTTACCTGGAGCACACAGGCTGGGCATTGGCTCAGGAGTTCAAGGAAATTCCTGGATATCTCTTGCAGGCTGATCGCTGGACGCCCCGGCTTTGGGGAAAATGGCAGCACTCTGCTGGGATCCTGGAGCTCGAAGCACGGGCCTTGGTGAAGGGGCTCAAACGTATTGCCATGAGCACTTTCGGGCATGATGTGCGGCAGCTCTTGCTCACAGACAACATGAGTGTTTGCCTCGCCTTTGACCGATCTCGCGCTCGCAGCTTCAGCCTCCTGGTGCAAATCCGGAAATTTGCTGCATATTGTTTGGCACGCAACATCTACTGTGTGGTTAGGTGGGTTCCATCCGAGCTCAACAGCGCGGACAAGCCAAGTATCCACTTGGCTACACCCGATATCGAGGGAGGTTTATGCATTGCAGTCAGTTGGGTCTCCACACTGCAACAATGCCCAGCCTAACGACGGCCAAACCACGCCGACCTCCTTGCAGACCACGAGGTGGGGCACAGCAACGTCTCAAGGTCCTGTCCATCAATGTTAACAGCCTAAGCGGGTTCCTTTGGGGTGAAGTCAAGGCGTTTCTTGGTGGAGAGGGCCTGCAGTATGACTTCATATTCCTACAGGAAACGCATCGCACTGCCTTTTGCGCTTTCAAGGTTGATAACTGGATGGCAGTTGGCTCCTCAACAAAACGGGGAGAGGGTGTGCTCACACTAGTTCATCCTCGTTACGATGCCTCCATGGTTCGTTACCAGGAGATAATCCCAGGCAGAGTTCTAAGAGTGAAGGTATGCCACAAAGAGGCAGCCATCGAAACACTTAACATATACCAACATGTTTGGATACACACGGATGATCCGGAACAAAACAAACAGAGGCGGCAAACCCTGCTCGATAAGTGCACTGCCACAATACAGGGCATGGCTAGAAGAGACACCCTGATTCTAGCGGGAGATTTTAACTCAGAGGTACACGCAGTAAACGGATTGATCGGGACACGCGTGAACCGCTCGGCCTATCACCAAGCCCTTGACCCACTCACACTTCCAAGATTCATACAAGACAACGCCCTGGTTGCTCTAAACACTTGGCATATGAAGGACCCATGCACCAACTACACCCGTACGGGCAACTCTCAGATTGACTATATCCTTGTGCGCGCACCAAGTGCTGACACCAGAGCGAAGCAAGTAGTCAAACAAGAGGCACCCTTTGGGGCGTGGAAAGAGCTCACACACTCGGCCCTCATTGCTGATGTCCGAATCATCAAGCACTTCCACTTGCCCAAGGCCAAAATGCAACAGGAACTACAATACTCGAGACATGACCTTGACTACGCGTATCGCCAGAAGGATCACCGAATCACACAATTAAAGAGTAAAGTGGAGTTGGAGATAAATCACAGCTTGAACCACGGCCTCCCACTGACTGCAGATCACATCAATCACACATTACTGCGTGAGGTCTCTGACCTCTTCCCAACAGCTACATCAGCACACACCAATCGAGGCCAAACCAAAGCACAGTGCAAGGCCATCTTTGCTGCGTGGAAAGAGCTGTTGACCCACCCTGACGAAGTAGGTGGCTCGACCATCACACTGCCTGCCCGCGTCTACCACATGTGGCAGAGACGTAGGGATCTTCAGCGATGCAAGCCATTCACCCTGTCAGGAGTGCTTCGCACATGGCAATGGGTGCTTCTCTTCAACAAGGCAGGACGGCAGAGCAAGCAATATCATCTCCAGCATCAACGGGCCATAGCACTGGGGCACTTACAGCAAGCTGAAAGGGCCGCTCAGACGCATAACACGAAGCGTCTCTATGGTGCAGTCAAGCGACTCCTGCCCTGGAAGCCCAAGCCCAGGATCATGCTTAAGCACCCGGATGGATCGCCCATGTCTCTGCACCAGGAACACCAAGCACTTGTCCAACACTGCAAACAACTCTTCGCACCCCCGGCGGCATCTCCCACTCGACCAGGCCAGATGCTTAGCATGCCATTGACTGCCTGTGAATGGACGACACAGCTTCAATGTACTCCTATAGGCAAGGCCGTGCCTGCGGACTCCGCTCCGGCCACAGCGTGGAAGGCCTGCGCGACAATTGTGGCGCCAGCCATGGCCTGCATAGCCAAAGGACTTCAGCCAGTAACCTCTGCACTACCTGATGCATGGAAGAACCCTCAGTTGTGTTTCCTTCCCAAACCACATAAGCCTCCATCCACCGCAGCTGCTCTCAGACCTATAGGCCTACTCAGACCGGATGGCAAGGCGTTTGCAGGCCACATCAAAAATCAGCTACTGATGCAGGCCTGCTCCAGCCTTACTCACACTCCACAGTATGCATACCTTCAGGCACGGGACACGTCGGATGCGCTGGCAAGGGTCAACGCATGCATACATGACATCAAGGACGGTCTTAGGGCCTTGGGTGGGAATAGGTTCCTGACGAGACAGCGCAAAGAGACTGGACAGGTCAAAGGCGAATCAGGAGGGTGCCTCCTGTCAGTCGACCTCAGCCAAGCTTTTGATCGTGTCAACCGTGCAAAACTAGATAGAGCGTTGGCACTCCACCAGGTTGATGCTGACCTTAGATCTACCGTCACCGCCATCCACGAGCAGGCTGCTTACCAGGACAGGGATAAATTTCACCGGACAGACATCTGCACGACGCAAGGAATTCGCCAGGGATGTCGACTAGCACCAGCCCTATGGGCCGTGCTGTCGTCTCAGTTACTCTGGGATCTTACTCCCGCTGGTCAAACGCCGCTGCAGCTTCCATTCACGTTGTTCGCCGATGACCATTTAGGCCATTGGCTTCTCAAAACGGTGGACGATGCCAAGCAAATGGAGGAGACGATAGTGGCACTTTTTCACATGTTGGAAACATACGGGCTCAAGGTTAATCCGGATAAATCCAGTTTGGTCATTCGGGTCCAGGGAGCGCAACTTGAAAAATTTGTCAAAAGCCGCACGGTTATAGTTCGCAACCAGGCGCATTGGAAACTACAAGATGGAGAACAAACACATCTCATACCGATGTGTGAATCCATCACTTACCTTGGCACCAAGCTCACACTGAAAGAGGGCACCGGCCATACACTTGACTTTAGGCTTGCTGAAGCTGAGGCGAAAGTTACGCAACTTCGCAAAAGCATCAGATCACGCAAGGGATTGTCCAGGCACTACAGAGTACGGGTTTGGCAGGCTTGCGTGGTAAACAGTGCGCTTTATGGTCTGCTGACTACTCCTTTCTCTGGCCAAATGATAACTAAGCTGAGGGCGTGGTTTCACCGCCAACTCAGAGCGGTCACAGGTATGCCAGCTCACCTCACAAAGGTGAGTAATCAGACGCTGAGAGAAACCTACAACCTGAACGATCCTGTACACATGCTGACGGAACGCATTGCGCGCAAACTTAATGCTATGCAACAAGGACGAGGCGATCCCGCCACGTGCGAAACTAAGACCTTTGAGTATTGGCAAATGCTACACAAACAACTTGCCAGCCATGCTGTGGAACAACGCACTGTGACGCTGGTGGAACTCTCCAGCTCTAGCCAACATGCCTGCTCCATATGTGGCCTGTACTACCCGACCCAAAAAGCCCTTAGGCAACACCAGGCGCTCAGACATGGACAGATTCAAGCCAACAAACTCAGTATCGACTACAAACCCGAACAACATTCTGTTGCGGGCATGCCACAATGCAAACACTGTCTTCTGAAGCTGTATGACTGGGGTGCATTAAAAGGGCACATCATGCAAAACGTGTGCGGTTGGCACACCAAACAGCTCAGCGACTCGAACAACAATAGCCAGCAGGATACGAAGACTGTTAAAGAAACAGAGCCTGTTCCACACAAGGTCGACACCCCACATACCCCTGTTGACCCTAAAGAGCGGCAACACGAACCAAGGAACACCACGACTGAGGAGAGCACGCTCCTGCAAAACGAAGCGACACTGGCATTGCTTCAAAGTCATGAGGGAATATGCACCCAAGCAGCATTACACAAAACCTACCTCAAACAGCACTGCGGTTTCTGTGGCCGCTGGATCGCTGATGCCGGCATGATTAAAACGCATATCCAGAGAGTGCATACGAATCTTGCACGGCATATTACCTCAGACATACACACTTCATGCCAGGCCTTCAAGCACCTCTTCAAAAGGGACCATACATGTGAGTGGTGTGACAGAATGGTGCACGGCTCAGATCGGCATTGCTCTCAATGCCCAGTTCTTTTTCAGCTGATACTCGCAAGGACCAGCAGACAGGCGGCCTCCGCTTCACCTGAGACCCAGCTCCCTGCAGTATGGCCTGTACCACACCCAGGGATGGACGTTGCGATTTACCTCAAATCACCTACTCAAGATGAGATGCAACTGCACATACAGCACATGTCCACGCTTGCCAAGACACGATGTCTCCTATGCGGTGAACAGGTGCAAGACATCCAACACTGGCGACGACACATGGCGCAGCGGCATGACTCTCAGAAACAGCTTGTCCAGAGTCTAGCTCAATCCGAAACACTGCTACAAGCACACGTTGCGCGACCTTGCTGCTGGTGCAATGTCCACTTCCCAAAGTCTGCTCGAGAACACAGACGAAAGTGCCTCCCTTTGCTGCAGCTCTGCCTGTACCATGACCTCCACGTCAGTGGAGACCACGCCGGAGCAACAGATGGCGGCAGTGTGGGGCCTCAGCTCACCCCTGGCGACGACGCCTACACCACAGAGACAAGCGTCCGTCAGACACAGACTGCCGCAAGGGACGCCGCAAAAGTATCGAAAGGGCATGGGCAAGGGCGCAGGCAAGGCAGCTCCCAAGGCAAAACGGGATCGGGACCAGGAAGCAGAAGACGAGTTGATGATGGACCTGGAGTCGCTGGACGAGGAGACGGTGAGAACGGCCTTGAAAACCTTGGTCAAAACAGCACTCAGACACGAACACCAACTGACGATCTTGGAGGCAGACCGGAGCTACGTGTTCTTCCTGGACACGACGAACCACGGCATTGTCTCCATGTTGATCCAGGCCAGCGCAACATGGAACACAAAGTTCGAGGAATGCACGGTCAACACCTCGCTGAGGGCCACGCTATGGGGAGTACTACTCATGGAATGGAAAGCACGCCTCGAGAAAATCGAGTCCGACGCCAAGGTACTACAGGTAGCAGAAACAGCAGGATGGGCAACGCGGTCTCCGCTCCAGTGGATCTACAACGAGTGGAATCCGGTACAGAAAAAGGCGCTACCATCAAGTCGGGACAACCTCACTCACGAGGAAGCAAAAAAGGCAGTCAACCAGCTCATCGCAAACACCGCCAAGGACAACACAGTGCACCGGTTCCAAAGCCTACGACCACTGAAGCCGGACCTGCAGGCGGAAGTGATCACCATGGTCCTGACACTCACCGTCCATCAACAGGCGGCAGCCGTTTACCACGACCTGGACCTCTTGGCAAACAACTGCGCGGGCAAGCTGATCGGTCTACGCTTGAGACGGGAGCGAGTGGGCAAGACGACGCTCACCAAGGAGCTCGAGAGACTACAGATCTAAAGAGCAAGCAAGAGAAATTCGGGGGAAAGCGGACTCCGCGCCCCATGCTCAGTCAAAAAGAGACTGAGAAGGAGCAACTGCAGACAGGCATCCGCAATTTCTTTTCAGCCCCCGTCCATGCCATGTCAGCGAAAAAACCCCGTAGCACTCTGAATGATCCGGCTTGCACTAAGAACAAGGTCAAAGGCAGCATGGATGGGGCTTTGGGGCATTCGGTGAGTGCGACCACTGAACAACCAGTGAAGAGTACACCGAAACAGGGTCAAGTAGGCATCCCATCAAGGGGGAAACATGGGACTGCGGGCGCGGGGACAAAAGTGGAGGGCTCTTTATTGGCATGGCGCACCCGCGATCGTATAACCAATGAGCCTCATGCTAGATCACTCGCACTAACTAATCCACATAACCTTTGCTATGCCAACGCAGTGATTCACATGCTGCACTATGCTCGGTCCCATGATGCTTTTATATCAGGTCTGGGCGAAGTCAATGGGGCCATCGTACAGGCCTCAAGATCCAACCAGCACCTGAATATTGCCAGACACCCGGCATGGAACTTCATATGGCCAGGATGGCAGAAGCCCACGCGACAGCATGACGCGGCTGAGTTTCTGCAGCACCTTTGCAACCGCACGGACTGCGTGGCACTCAAGGGGGGATGGGAAGCTAGACGCCCACAAGCAGGGGCATATGAAATCCTGGATGAGCAGTTCAACTGTCCACACATAAGACTGGTGGTCCAACACCCCTTCAGAATACAGGATGCAGTAACTGCTTGGCATACACAAGACCCGCCACATGCCTTAACTAGACCCCCCGAACTTCTCATCCTCCAGATCGGACGATTTGTCCAATCAGCCGGAGGCATTAGGAAAACGCGGCAGAGGATTGAAATGCACAAAAACCTCACAGTTCCCACCTTCACTGGACATGCCGGTGACGTTGTCAACACCCCGTACAAGCTATGCGGAGGGGTCATGCATATAGGCAAGGTGGTAACGGCCGGGCACTATCAGGCATTCTACTTTCCTGGTGACACTGAGGATATTTGGTCCTGCCACCTCGTACATGACGACGGCCAGACCGCCACGCCAGGGACGGATGCCACGCGACAGGCCATTCTTACCAACTGCTACTTGCTTGCATACCGCATCAATAGCCATGTGTGACTCTACATGGGAAAGTGGCCTCCACTCCCCACTGGTGTACACAGGACACTCATGATTCTCAAGCTCTCAAACATGAGAGGCTAACTCTCTACACTCAGTACAACAAGGCCTGAGGTCTCCTCGCCTTGTGAGTTGACACTCTGACAAGGAGTAGACATAGGCTGTAGACAAGCTGGCCCTCATGATGTCTCATGTACAGTTTTTTGCTTGTTAGCTTCACTTGTTAGTTCCCAGCTGTGACACCTCAGCTGTCGGGCTCTGAGGAGCACAGCTTTGCGGCTGCCAAAGGCAGTATTTATCTTTCTAGGATTGTACAACTTTGCTGTCGGGCTCCACGGGGCACAGCAGGGTTTTTATCTGCCTCACACCGGCGAACCCTCCAGCAGAGAGGGGTGACTAGCTCACACTCGCCCGCGTGACAACTGCCACAGTTGATGCGAATGAATGAATGAAAAAGGACAAGCCAAGTAGGCTCCACTCAGAAGAAGCTAGCAAGGATCTCGCGCATGCCATCCCCCATGTCCGCTGGACCCCGCCGGGAAGCAGTTCTCAAGCCTCCAGTGGCAAAGAGTGTCAAGCCAAGGCCCAAGTCCAGGATGCTGGAGCGACCGCAGCCTTCAACTGCTTCGAAGGCGAGGGCGTCGACCCTTGCAAAGACTGGTCCGGCCGAAGCACTGATCACACCGCGGAAAGCGGACACGTTCAGCCTGTTGACGGTGCCCCTGGAAAGCGAGAAAGTCAAAACAAAGAAACGCAGCAGAGAGGAGAGTTCAAATGCCTCGACCAGTCCGAGCAGAAGTCCTGCGCGCAAAGCTGGGCAACGACGTCTGGTTCAGAGGAGAGCAAGGCGCCGAGCGAAAGCCATGGTGGATCACCACTTGGACGGAGTGTCGCATCTGGAGCAGCAAGCTGTTGGAGAAGCGACCTCCAAGCAGTACCAGAAGGAGCTTCAGTCCTTCCTCAGCTTTGCAAAGCCCCGGGGATTGGTGATGACCAATGCCAAGATAGTGGACGGGCTTCTCGTGGACTACATGAACCGGATGTATCTGGACGGCCATCAGAGCTACCGAGCCGACAGGTTGATGGCTGCCATTCTCCACCGCTTCCCACAATTTGGCCGGTTGGGGGACCAGAAATTACCGCGGGCCTGGCGAGCGCTCAAGGGCTACAGACGGCTGACGCCGGGGAAGTCCCGGTTGGCCTACCCCTTAGCCTTGTGGGCAGCCTTTGCGGTGGAGCTGAAGCGCTTAGGATGCCTGAGGATGGCTCTTTTCATGCTCCTTGCTGTGAGCACCTACGCCAGGCCGTCGGAGCTCCTTCGGGCAAAAGTGTTCAGTCTGGTGCGGCCCGCGCGAGGGATCACGAGCAGCTGGTCGTTACTGCTGGCGCCGGAGGAGGAGGAGATAGCCACGAAAACGGGGGATTACGATGTCTCGATCCCTCTGGACAGCCCGTGGTTGAAAGGCTGGAGCCACGCGTTATTCGACTGTCTGAAGCAATCCCACCCAACAGCACCCCTCTGGGATTTCAACTACCAAGAGTACCAGCTCATGATGAAGCAAATCTCGGACATGTTTGGTGTGGACGTGACGCCGTATCAGACCCGGCACTCGGGTCCCTCCATCGACCGCGCTCGGCAATACCGCAGCCTCTTGGAGGTGCAGAAGCGCGGGCAGTGGAAAGCGCACAAAAGCGTGGCGCGCTACGAAAAGAGCGCCAGGCTGGCCAGCACATGGGAGTCCCTACCAGAAAGTTTCAAGACCCACGCCACGCTCTGCGAGCAAGACCTTGGGGCAATTCTTTTGGGGCGAAAACCAGCCCCCCTTTTTGCCACAATCGCAGGCCTGGGCAGTATGTGATGGATCTTTTCTCCGGCCAAGGAGGAGTCGGTCGTGCAGTGCGACATTTTGGCTTCAACGCCAAATTTTGGGATATCCGTTTTGGGACAGATCATGATTTGACCAACAAGGGTGTGCTTCAGAAAATCCTTCGTGAGATCCGGCAAGGTCGAGTTTTAGCATGCATGCTTGCTCCAGTTTGCGCCAGCTTCGGACGGGGTTGTGACCGCACAAAGGCGATCAGGACACGCGCAGAACCCTGGGGCATCAGTGCAAACAAGCTCACCGCTGCCGAACGTGACAGCATCCTCCTAGGCAATCGTTGCTTTGTCTCATGTTTCCGCATCATGCGCGAGCTAGACAAGTTCAAGATACCTTACATCCTTGAGAATCCTGCATACTCCAAGGCGTGGTGGCTCCCAGCACTTCAGCGGCACCAGTCCCGGCCTTGGGTTCGGTTCGTGCAGGGTGACTTTTGCCAGTTTGGTTCCTCTTGGCAGAAAACCACAACATTTCTGTGTGCGCATATTCCTGAAGATGATTTGCACCGGCTGGCGTGCACCTGCCAGGGGCCACCAGGAATCTGCAGTCGCACCCTGAAGCCGCACGTCCTTCTTTCAGGAAATTGGCGAGGAAGGCCGCGCGCCCAATGGGCGGAAATATACCCCAACAAGCTTAGCACCGCGTTGGCATACGCGTTAACTGCTGCCCACCACATCCCTCCCTATTCGTGAACTTCGCCTTTGGGAAGATTTGGGGCGAGAGTGAGTTCTGATCTTTGAGCTTCCAGTGCTTTCTTCAAGTACAAGCTCATTCTGTGCAGTTGGCTCCAACATGCTGTGACGATGCTAACGCTTTCGAGAAATTTGACCGCAAAAAGAGCTCCGAGTGACGGCAATCTGATTGAGCGTGCTCGGTAAGATTAGAGTCACGAAGTGCTCATCCCTGACGCTGTCTCATACTCAAGTGCACCCGCCCACCCGCCCAAGGTGGGGGCGAGAGTGAGTTCTGATCTTTGAGCTTCCAGTGCTTTCTTCAAGTACAAGCTCATTCTGTGCAGTTGGCTCCAACATGCTGTGACGATGCTAACGCTTTCGAGAAATTTGACCGCAAAAAGAGCTCCGAGTGACGGCAATCATAACGTATTGAAAACAATAGGACTGTATAGAATCTCTATTAAAACTGAATGACAAAAAAAGGCCACCCATGAGATTTTGCGAACCCCCCAATAAAATTTCTTTAAATGTGTGGGGTTATCTCCAGCCGAAATCCACCCTAATGGAAAGTAGTCTTCCGGCGGGCTTCCGGGGAAACAAAAATGTCTTTAAATATGGGGGGGTTTAATTAAACAGGTGCTCGGATTAGGGGTTTAGGGGTTTTGGGGTTTTGGGTTTTGGGTTCAGGGGCTGGGCTTTGTTTTGTTCCCTTGCTGAGTTTCAGATGATCTGCTCAGGAACTACAGGAGTGACCCTTAGAAGGCCTTGGGATTTTCTGGGAGGCTTTTTGAGGCTACTTAGGTATATATGGCACTCACTGTAGGGTATAGACATTCAAGGTATAGAGTGTAGGGATTCGGGATTCTATCTCTCAAACCCTAAACCCTAAACCCTAAACCCTAAACCCTAAACCCTAAACCCTAAACCCTAAACCCTAAACCCTAAACCCTAAACCCTAAACCCTAAACCCTAAACCCTAAACCCTAAACCCTAAGCCTAAACTCCCTAAACCCTAAACCCGGATCCCTTCTAGGGGGACCCCACTTGGGTCCGTTTAAGAACTCCTGCTGCCAGGCATCATCCGGACCTTCAAGTCTTGCCAGACGGGCAAGTGGTGTACAGATAGGCTTAGAAACCCTGTAAGGCACCCATAAACCCCTACCAGTCCTATAAACCCTGTAAGGCCTAAACACCCTTTCAGCCCTATACCATCTACCTTATACGTCCTACATATCCCATAATTCCTGTAAGTTCAAGTGTTGGAAACCTACACAAGGGTCAGAACAATTTCTAAGAATGCTCCCTTATGGTCCCCTGGTAATTAGACTTTTCTAACCTCCAAAACCCTGTTCTAATTATTAAGGCCCTAAGCCCTGAAACCTGAAACCTAGCTTCGCATAGGACTCCTTGGGGGTTTCTTAGGGTTTAGGGTTTAGGGTTTAGGGTTTGGGGTTTCGGGCCTTCGGGTCTGTCTACGGGCTGACTTCAAGGGCCCATGTATAGGTTCGGGGTTTTTAGGGCTTATGGAGTTTGCAGGGTTTATGGGGCTTATAGGGCTTATGGGGTTTATCGGGTTTAAAAGGTGTTTATAGGGTTTATAGGGCCAGGGTTTATAGGGTGTATACTGTTTATAGGGTTTATAGGGTTTACAGGGTTCATAGGTTTCAGGGTTCCTCCTGCAACGCGAACCCTGAACCATAGACACGCCTGATCGCCTCCTCAAGCCTCACCCGCAGCCAGCGTGGTCAACTGCCACCCTCAGGGCCCCAAAACCTTAGGGACACTTGGGATAATTCATTTTCACTTTTGGGTACCATAAGTCCAAAGAAACAGCCAAAAACTGTTACTTTTGCTAGGGTTTCAACTTCTGTATAGCTCAACCCCCGAAACCCTCAACCGATCGCTGTCGTCACTCCGGCGGCTCGACCGAAAAAAGTGCGCGGTCTGTCTTGACGCTCACGATGGAGACACCGGATATTCTTGGTAGGTGTGGGGTTTGGGGTTTAGGGTTTCGGGAGTAGGACTTGGGGATTTGGAGCTTGGGCAGAGCATCCTAGCCTACATTCTGTGGACCTGAACATCATGCGGACGTTCCGGCTAAACGGTACCCTATACCCTAAACCCTAAACTGCAGACCCTAATGGTGCCATGAGGGGCGCTAAGAATCTTTGTTGTACTGTACTGTAACTGTAGATCCTTACCTTTTTGGGGTTTATTGGGTTTCTTACTAAGGCAGCTAAAAGTTTAATTTATAGCTACCCTCCTGAGTGCAGCCAAGGAATGAACTTCCGTAGAGGTTAGGCTCTGAACGGTTCACGGCCTGGAGCTCCTCAAGACTACACAAAAATTGTGGGTTTTGTTTTGCGGTTCGGCTTTAGAGTCCTAAAAACTAAACCCCTTGAGGGTTTTAAGGTATTTTTATTTTAAGGTTTAAGGCTTAGGGTGCTGTGCAAGTTTTGGGTCGCGTGCCCTGGCACTCCAAGTATACACATATGGCCTACTGTGGGGGTCTGTAGTATACTTGAATCATCCCTGGTATACTAAGGCCCGTTTACGTCCCCTTGCATTTAGGATGCCCAAAACGAGGCAATGATTTTGAACCGACCGCACGGACACGACCTCTCAGCGAAACCAGAAAATCGCATGGAGCCTCGAGACCTCCTTGGGATTTGGGGTTTTGGGTTTTTGGGTTTGGGTTTAGGGTTTTTTTCTGAAACCCTGAACCCCTAACCTGTTCTGCTGCATCCCAACGCCCATACAAGCAAGGTGGGGTTTTGGGTTTAGGGTTTAGTTAGGGTTTAGGGTTTAGGGTTTAGGGTTTAGGGTTTAGGGTTTAGGGTTTAGGGTTTAGGGTTTAGGGTTTAGGGTTTAGGGTTTAGGGTTTAGGGTTTAGGGTTTAGGGTTACAAGCGATACGAAGTCCTAACTTGTCCCTGGAGCCATGGTTCTTGGGGATATCACAAACGTCGTGGCCGCGCCTCGTGGCCAGCATCCGAACCTGAAAGCCGGAGGCACAAGGACAGGGCCCTGCCTTGAGAACCCTACATCCATTGGCCTCAGGTTTTCACTGGGCTTAGGGTTTTAAACTCTACGTCCCCAAGCCAATAATTCTTGAAGGGTATGTACTAGCCATTCGCTACTCAACGACTCCAATAACCTGGAAAGAAGGAGCATCCCTGGAATCTTCGTGGGATCCTTGCAATATCGTTGCTTAAGGAAGTGTGCCTACAATTACGTGGTCTTGTGCCTTTCGCAACCCAAACCCTTCAACCCTTTCGGTAGGGCTCCGTTTTCCGGGGCCCCCGACCGTGTTTCGAGGGATTTGATGGCCCGAAGACTCCGAACCTTCCTTTGCGCCAGGCGCTGTTTAAGCGCAAACGTCAGAGGGGTAGTCTAAGCGCTGCTCCAAACCATCGCATACACCAGAATACTAAATCACCAACCTCAACTCAACCAAAACCCCGAACTAAACCCCAAAAAGCCCCCTAAAGCTCTGAACCCCCCCCCCCCAAAAAAAAAAAAAGAAGAGCTATAATAAGCCTTAAACCCCGCAAATCATGAGCTTTATTAAGCCCGAAAATCTTGAACCAAACCCGCGGCTCCCTCCGGTGAGGACGCCCCGATCGAAAAGCCAGGAGGCATGGAGCTGGGTGAGGTTTTGTTGTGTAGAGTTTAGGGTTTAGGGTTTAGGGTTTAGGGCTTAGGGCTTAGGGCTTAGGGTTTAGGGTTTAGGGTTTAGTACGTTTAGGGCTCAGCACGTAGGGCTTATAGGGTTTGGGGTTTTTAAGGTTCCGGGCTCAGGGTTTAAAGGTTTAGGGCATAGGGTTTAAGGTCTGGGGCTTCGCCTTTAGAGGCTAGGATGCAGGGCTCTGAATGCAAGCAACAACTAACAAAGCCGCCAAAAGGTTTGATGTCCTTGACCAGCCCCCTTCCTAAGCCCGAATATCGAAAAAGGTTACCATGCAACACTGAAGAACCACTCTCCCCTAAACCCTAAACCCTAAACCCTAAACCCTAAACCCTAAACCCTAAACCCTAAACCCTAAACCCTAAACCCTAAACCCTAAACCCTAAACCCTAAAGGTCGACTGTTGCCGTCAGGAACGCCAGACTCCCGCTTCGAGATATGATCCTGGAGAGAAGGCGCGGGGTTGAGAGCCCTTTTTGCGGACCGTGAGCGCCTACTTTAGGGTTTGGGGTTTAGTAGGGTTCAGGGTTTAGGGTTTAGTGTTTAGGGGGCTCACATTCCTGAACCGTACGCCCTGAAGCTTTAACACTAGTTTGGACATGCGCTATAGCTTCCCCAGTGGCACTTTGCGTTTTACATTTTTCTCAACGCTGTGGGGTATGTGGGATGACGTCCGCAGCCTCCATCTTAGTTGTCAGCCGCTTCCATTCGTCCTGTGGTCACGACAGGGTTTAGGGCTTGGTGTGGGATAGGCTGGGCTTGCGAGAGCAAACCCTCCTGGCTTAGAACACATGCTTGCAAGCAGTACCTATACACCAGGCCGCACCAGATAGTGCAGAATCTCTCTCACTGGTTCCAATGATTTTGGTATTATGCTTGAACCTGAAAGCCTCAACCCTAAGCCCAAAGCCCCTAAAACCCGAAACCCTTTAAACCCTAAGCCCCCAAAACCCTACACCCTAAACCCAAAAAGCCCTTAAAACCCTAAACCCTTCCTTCTCTTAGAACTTCATGAAGTGTTTCAGGCCATATCTTGCCAGAAGGTCGACTTTTGCTTGTACTCAGGAAATTCTTTCAAGACAGGAGCCCCTGTATAAGGTTTCGGGTTTAAGTTTCTATGGTTTGGGGTTTTGGGTTTAGGGCTTAGGGCTTAGGGTTTGACTGAACCCCCTAAGCCCGCCACAGGTTCCAAAGTCCCTTAATCCCACCTTCCTTCCCCCCGACCTTCCTCGCGCCCAAGGCTCATAACTCTAAACCCTCAACCCTAAACCCCAAACCCTAAACCCTAAGCCCCAAACCCTAACCCCAAACCCTAAACCCTAAACCCCAAA